GGTCTAATTCAATTAAAAAGCCTAACAAAATCTAACATTTCTAGAAACATTTTCTAAAATGATCCATGTAAATATCTAGTGGTGTCAATCGAGCCGAGCGGCTCGTCGACTCAGCCGCTCGGCTCGTATTGTTCTGAGCCCACGAGCACGAGCCGAGTGGGCTGGCTCGCTAGATGAGTCGAGCCCTCTCGGCTTATCACTATTCACGAGCGGTTGGCCAAACAGCTCGCCGAGCCGCTCATGAACTTAACTCGTGGGCTCATATATTATATAAAAAGATAATAAATAAATAAATAAAAATTTATGTTAACAAGTGACCAGAACGGTTACTGAAATTCAGTAATCGTTTGGTCACCAATTTTTAAAAAAAGAAAAAAAAATTCTATTTTTCTTAATTTATTCTCCTATAAATACCCAACACATTACAACATTTTTTCCCACCAAACTTTCATTCTATACTCTCTACTCTACAATTTACAAATCATTATCAACAATATCATTCATTTATTCTATAATTCTCTTCTACATTTTTTTACATTATTATCTTCATTTTACAACTCATTTTATACACTAGCCACTAGTACATAATCTTCATTCACTTCTCATTTCTACATTTCTACATTCTATTTCAACAATTCACAAATGGATCCACGAGCATTTGTTGAAAACTTGTTCGGTATGGAAGGCGAAACACCTGCCCAAAATCAATTTGGGAATGAATTTGCCGGTTTTAATGAATTACCAATTCCAGAAGACATTGAAGATTTCGACATTTGTGAAGGTAGTCATCCCGATCCAATTGATTTTGATGACGTTGATATTGATCCTAGTATTCCAATTGATTTGGAACAAGATGAAGAATCTGCATTAAATATTCATGATGCAAGAGGGAAGAGAAAGGGGAAGAAGCAGGCAAAATGTTGGGACCATTTCAAATTGGTTAACACTAATCGTGTGATCGATGGACTTCCAGAAACCAAAGCAGTATGTAAATACTGTCAACAACGACTGGCATGGCAAAAAGGCATTGGAACCACTCACCTCAACCGTCATTACAAAGCATGTGCGGCCAAACATGGGCTTCTTGAACGTGGACAAACGCAACTACAGTT